AGTAATTAGGAGTTTAAAACCCAGATCTAATAGCCCGTTCAGACGCTTAAGTTGAACTGGTTTAAAAAACCTGGGGATCGTTAAACCAGTTTAACTTAAGCGTCTAAACGCAAATGTGGGGCAAATAAACCAGTTTAAAAACATCAGCTCGCGACCTGTCTTCGAAAAGGCTTTTTATTTTAAACTGGTTCATCTTAGCCGTCTGAACAGGTTGGCTTAAAAACCCCGGCTCCAGCTTGCTTTGAGCATGCGCAGTACGTAGTAAGTTACATTCCTGTGAAAATATCGGGGTCAGACAGTGCCAATGTTCTCGAAAGCGTGCGAGAACCGAATAAAGAATATGAAGCTACCCATGCGTAGTTAACTCTAACCTCCGACAGAAAAGGTCAGAATAGTTTGGCTTATAGTACGTGTGAACGCAACACGATGCTGTCTTAAAAACCCCAGCGATAATGAACTGGTTTAAAAATAAGCGTCTGAACGGGCTATAAAACTGCATGGCACCAACCTCTCAATTGTTATCAGATTCAGTGCAACATTTGGTAATGTTTTTTAAAGGTAAGATGAAGAGAAGGTACACAGTTTAACTGATTAAGAATGCTAAAAAAAAAGTTCAACAAAATCTTCTTAATGAGGTTAAAATATTTTAAGGCTGATATTTTTTTTTTTATTACATCAAGTTAACCCATCATCATACTGAGTGATCTGTATTTATTATAACTCACCTACTTCATTGACTGTTCATAATAAGATTTCATTGGCAATTAATCTAATGAAAAAGCATGTAAAAATCTCCCAGTACATAACTCTAATATTTCCTACAGTGTTTTGTAGTTTATATATAGTGCTGAGTGAGAAAAAGTAATCCAAAAAGCCATAAAAAGTGTGTAGAGGGTAGGAAAAATATCCATTTTCATTAGCTGTGTAAAAAAAACTAAGGTAGCAGCTGTTTGTGTAATTATAAAAGAGGAGGAAATCACAGACAATCTAGTCATGTTCTAATCAACTTTCCTTGTTATTATCTTTAATAAATTATAACAGCCCATCATAAACTGGTCAACATATTGTTTTGTACTATATTAGATTTACCATTAGGCTGACCTTAAAAATATCTTTGTTTCACCAAACCCGACCCACAATCGAGGAGAAGGGTCGGTAGGTCGGGTTTTTTTTCAGATTTTTTTTTTAAAGTTAGAGAAATCAATACAGAAAACTTATTAGCTGTATACTACAGATTCATTAATTTTGTTTAATGAATTTGGGGTCTGACGTAAAAAGTAACGAACTGAAATTTTTTTTTATTAAACTTAAGAGCTAATTTGACAGCTTAATAATTTTCCGGGTGGAAATGAGTGAGTGACATCGGGAATTTTTCGTGATGCCCGACTCGCACACGATTTGCCACGAACTTGAAGTGTGAAACTCCTTCAACACGTTTTTAACGATACTGCGGGTTGTGCCTTCATTTTTCTCGAAAACGGTTATTGAAAATATCGTCGTCATGTTTAAAACTACGCACCACAGACATAGAAGCAGAATCATTTCGTGGGAATGGACCTGTATTCGTCTGCAACCATTTTGTTGAGAAGCGACACCTATGACGCTTTCGTCTTGATCAACCATTTTCAATAATGAATCAAACCATAGCCATAGTAAAGGGAAATAACTCTCGTGATATATTTCAGGTTGACACACAAAATAAAATAAAAAGATCAAGGAAAAGTGCAATAAAATAATTTAAGTCGGGGGTGGTTTTAGTTAGTCGGTCGCGTTAGGCGAAACAAAGATATTTTTAAGGTCAGCCTTAACTACATGTACATTCATTCTGGCTGACTTTATACAGACTGTTTTACATGTAGCTTAAATCAATCCAATATATCGTATCTGGAGTCTTTGTCAGCTGGTAAATTTGTTTACCGGTATTTTGTTTCAACTCAGATAAACAAATAGCAAGACCTTTTTTTAAATTTTGATTGAATTGTGAGAGTTCTGACACATAAAATGTAGAAATTCAACTGTATTCATTGTATTTGGATTGACCGTCACCAGCCATATTTAACTGGGAAACACTTTTGGGATCATATGTCATTTCTTTAATAAATTATTTTCTCTTATGAAAGTAAGTGTTAACTTAAACGAGATAGGCCTATTAATTCAGTTTATAATAGAAAAAAGAAAATGGCTATTTATTATTTTGATTACAGTGGAATATTAACAAATACGTTTTAAGTTTCATCAGAATCGGATAAAAATTGTGACCTCTAGAGGGTCCACAACCTTCGTATTGCATACTTTTACACAATTTGCGTACAAAGAGCGGCCATTTTGTCAGGCAGTTTTCCCGAAATTTGAATTCAACCTTCATTATGGTGGAATGGTGAAATATTTAAATGGTTTTTAAAATTGGAAAAAAAATTGTGACCTCTAGAGAATCCGCAAGCTAAAAATGCGATTTTTCGAACAATCAGGAGCCATAATTCAGGAAGTTACGGTCCGATATTCGCGAATATTGAAAGGAACCAAGATCTTTGGGTTATAAACTTACATTTCAAGTTTCATCAAAATCAGAAGAAAATTGTGACCTCTAGAGGGTCCACAACATTGATATACCATATTTTTACGCTATTTGAGTACGAGGGGCGGCCATTTTGTCTGTCAGTTTTGGTCCAAAATTCGAACTCAACCATCCTTAGGGTGTAACGGTGATATGTTCAAAAGTTTTTTTTAAATCGCATAAAAATTATGACAGCTATAGGGTCCACAAGCTAAAAATGTGATTTTTCGTACAATCAGGGGCCATTATTCAGGAAGTTACGGTTTGATATGCGCGAATATTGAAAGGAACCAAGATCTTTGGGTTATAAACTTACATTTCAAGTTCCATCAAAATCAGAAGAAAATTGTGACCTCTAGAGGGTCCACAACCTTGATATACCATATTTTTACACTTTTTGAGAACAAGGGATGGCCATTTTGACTGTCGGTTTTGGACCGATTTTCGCGAAATTCGAACTCAACCATCCTTAGGGTGTAATGGTGATACACTAAAAAGTTTTTTTAAATCGGATAAAAATTATGACCTCTATAGGGTCCACAAGCTAAAAACCGAGATCTTTGGGTTATAAACTTACGTTTCAAGTTTCAACAAAATCGGATAAAAATTGTGACCTCTATAGGGTCCACAAGCTAAAAACATGATTTTTCGTACAATCAGGGGCCATAATCCATGAAGTTTCGGTCCAATACATGCCAATATCGTAAGCAACCGAGATCTTTTGGAGATAAACCTATATCTCAAGTTTCGTAAAAATCGGATAAGAATTGTGACCTGTAGAGTGTCCACTAACAATTGTGGACGGATGGACAGGGGCGACGACAATATACGTCCACATGAAAATGTGGGCGTATAAAAAATTGAAATTAGTAATTTCAATCAGATTATTCATGTCAGACTTTACATTTTTTAAAGATTAATCAAACTCTACAAAAAGGAAAAGAGAGAGAGAGAAATGGGGTTTAACGTCCACTCGACACAAACTAGGTCATTTCGGGACTAACACATGGTTCAATTTTAATTTAATAATTCGCTTGCGCGTAGGGGCCTTTAGCAGTGGGAGGAAACCGGAGGACCCGGAGAAAACCCGCGAGGTTGGACAGGTGACCCTACTCCTTGTCACGTACAACCGGGGAATCGAACCCCGCCAGTTGACTCAATGACAGACCGTATGATACAACGCGCGTGCTAACCATTCGGCCATCCAACAATTTGTCTCAAAAGGAATAATTACAATCTTGTAGTGGCATAATCTTAGCACTGATAACTTGGGCTCAAGTAGCTATTAGTATTAGGTAATTGTATATAATATATCAAGATTTGTACTTATTTATTATAATACTTTATTGACACTCGTCAATATAATAATGATATAATCATAAAATAGCCCATAGCACAACATTAGTTTGTCTGAATGTTTATTCTATCTGTTTACTTACTTCAAAATTTCTACTACAGCCGTACATAACATTAAAGGGAAGTTTATTAAAGCACAATCTATTGAAACTAAAAGATCAATCATATATCATATTTTGAAAGGGTGAGAAATATTCTGACAGTATGAAGTCAATAAGGATTTATGTATTTTCTTTACACAATAGGTTATTGTTCACAAAATTAAGCTTGGATTTCAAATAACTGAGAAACTGTATAATTATCTTTATTAAACCACCTCAATACTTTGTACATCAAAAATAATGATGACCAGAGAAAAGTTACAGAGGTCCACGAACAACAATAAATCACTACAAAACCACATGATCAGAGAAGCTGATTATGGTACCTTTTTTTGAAAGCGCTTTGTTAATTAAATCAGTAAGATTATATTCATCACCAAAGGTGTAGGCTACCAAGTTGATTGAATGGGATAAAATAAAGGAATGGTGTAATTAAAGCTAATTGGCTGTGCATGTTCAAGATAATTAGATATATTTGAAGTGTGCAAACAATGCAAAGTCCAAGAAAAATAATTAAAAAAAAAAAACCCTTCTGGCTTAAATTTTTATGATTCATTTCTGTACAAATTATTTTTTTCGTTTCATGCAAGTCTGTTCATCTACTAATATATCTTTTAAAATAACCACAATACAGTAGGGGCTTTAATTATAGTAAAAGCTGTAGAATTTTTGAAATCATATTGGCAAGAAATGTTTACATTAAAATAAATTCAAAATTACATGTAGCTTGGACTCTATATATACATCGTGTATCTATGTCATTGCAAGCATTGCAGATTTGAAATGACTACTTTAGTGTGCATGGGGTCATGTCAACTGGATAGATGTTATTGAATATCCAGTTTATTTGAAATATCAAACTCATATTACATTTCTTGTTCATCTATAAACAAAGAATATAATAAAGGTAGCAACTTGTGAACAAATAGAGTCAACTATAGACAGAATTTTCCTTGAATCAAATTTAAATATTATGAACACAAACCAACCTTTTACTTTAAAACCTCAAACTCCTACAACACAGCTATTCCATCAAAACTTTTATAATAAAAAGCTTTTGTTTATTGTGCACTTAAATGTTGGCAGAAACTGTACAAACACACATACAGTTTGAATAGAGTAGTCTGTTAGAACACACAAGAATAGATAATATAGGTTCATGTAATACAAGCTGAAATGTCAGTGATCAGATATAGGCCAGGTAAACCATAATAATATATCCAGTTAGCAAGCTAATCCTACATTTACATACTCAGTCCTACTCTATTCCTAGACTGTCTACTTCTTCTGATAACCTAAAAACATACACTCTGATCAACTTGCACAGACTTCTTAATAAATTAAACTCAGAAATTTGCGGATCATATTCATGCAAGTTCATTGCACTTTGTCAACCATTTGATTGTCCTGAATTTGGGTGTTAACAATAGTAGTCTCCTGAAAATTTGTACCAGTTAAACAATGGTCCTGTTTATGCCTCCTTTTCATGCTCGTTCGGCTTAAGTCGACAATCAATTGTAGATGTGTCCCAAATATACTAATCTATGTAATTAACATGTACACTTTTCAACCCAGCTCTTTTCAAATACAACTTGAAGTGAATGTTTTGTCACAAATGGCTGCTTAAAATGAATGGAGCTTCTTTACACTGGGACAGGCTACACACTTTTCTTTATAAGCATTAAACGACAGCACAATCAACAAAAAAAGTTTCCCTGGCTTTACAATAGTATCCACATAGTCTATCACAGTTCATATATAATATTTCAGTCTTATAATCTGTGGAGCAAAATCAAACACAACTTATAAACTCTTGGCCCTATCTAACTATACTTCATTCAAACTTTCCATCTTGGAGATAAAGATTTTTTTTTCCTCATCCAATCTCTGTTCTATTTTAGATGCAGACACATATGGTTTTTGTGCAGACGTCTCATGTTGATAATTTCTTTATAACAGTAATAACACACAAAGAAGCTGGCTGTATCTAATGCAAGGCTAATACACCCATGCAGGCTGTTCGTCATAATAGAAAGAGAGAGTAATGTCCCATCTAACAATCTCCACTAAAAAACATCAATACTATTATCAAAAGACAGGTAATGTGTCTGCTAGCAGGTTGAATCTTGAATTTGAGATAAGACTTGACCAGCTGTATGTAGCTATCAAAGCCTCTTTCCTTGAACCTGTTCACAGTGTTTCTCCTTCTAGCCCACCATTGGTCCATTCATTGTTGTCCCTGAGAAAACACAGCAAGAGATCTCCAAAGGGGCCTGGGTAATCACTCCAACACATGCCTATTACTGGCTGTTATACAACACCCTTACAAGAAACTAAAGTAAGAGTCTTTAGGCAAAATATATAACCCTGTTTATGGACTTAACATCTAGTTATAAAACTTAGTACTGAAACTGAAATACATGTTTCCCAAATTCCTACCGACAATTTACACATACATGATGTACACGTTGCTATCTGTTATATAATATCTATTCTAAACAAAGGATTTATTTATTACTTATACTTAACATATAGTAAACACTTGCAGGATATACCCTTAATGGTGCAAAACTGGCATGAAATATATTACTATGCTAGAATAAGTTTAACCTAACCCTAAGCATTTTACTTTTCTGCACCAATGTAACTATCTAAAATGCTGCCATTTTTTGAAATGATAAAGACAGTTCTATGATGAATATAAATTTATATAAATAACAATTATCTTACTGCATAGTAAGTGTGCATTGTTTCACCATCTCAATTAAAATAATCTTAATAATGATTAAATCTTAATATTATCAATATTATCAAGACTTACCTCGCAGAATTTTTGTTGAACCATTGCAATAATTGAAACTTTTAAGATTTTTATCCAAAACAAATTGTCTATCACACCACATGTTATGTTGAAGTTATAAATAAATAACAGTATTAATACTGAACTTATTATATCTAAATGTGGACCACCCACTATCCTATTGAGGACTGACCCATCTGTAATGAGGTCCTTAAAATAGTGACCAGTAAGACTGGCATGCTTGAAGGAAGGTCATTCTATTATGTAATCTTTCACAGTTCATATTTACAGATAGGTTTAATCTAATTAAACTGATGATCATATTGACAGATAGTAAACATAATATTGGTTTAATGAGGCCAGGAGGGGGACCTGCAGCTTTTCACCACCAGTCAATGTGACAACAACATTAAGAGTTAAAGTTGATAAGCTAGTAATAATGGTACCAGTTAAACTCAATCAAAGCTGAAGTTAAACTGACTATTATATCATACTATTATGGGGTGTATTAGATTATACTTTCAGCACCACTACCTGGGTAATCTCCTACACCAACAAACTTGATATGACCGACTAAGCAACAGGTCTATTGTTTTTTTGTATGAAATATAACTAATCGTTTACTAATCTTGTAGACATGTTAAATCTATATACGATTGAATCTTTTAGTAAGAAGATGAATAGTGGTATTATGTAGACACACTGCATGTTTCACAAATAATAGCTGTAAGAATGACAGTTTAGTAAAAATAATAAATGCCCACAGGTACTTTGTTGTGTCTGCAATATAATCCTCTCCATATAGAAGGGTTTAATACTGACTTTTAGTTAACTGTTGGTTGTTTTTTGACAACTGAAGGAATGCTTTATAGGTAACTAATACCCTATCATCGGTGAAGTGTCAAAAGGGTGTATCTCGGGAAATTAGTCAAATACACTTTTTTGTATTTTTAAAATCTCCCAATTAATATGCACATTTCTGTCTAAGCTGTGTATCTCTACGCCAATTAGAACTGTTCTGGGTATCATGTGTCCAAATGTTGTATCTTGATTTGTGGAAATTTTGAAATGCAAAAGGTTCTATTTCTTAATCTTTAGAAATTCTTAGATACACCCTTTTGACACTTACCCACGATATGCTTTAATATCATTGATAAAAGTAACCAAATATAGACAGATGTTTTACAAAAAAAAAATTGTTCAAATTTAAACATTTTATGCAAGGGTATAAACAAATTGTAGGAAACTGGAGAACCCAGAGGAAACCCACACATTTAGACAGGTGACCATACTCTTTGCCATGTTAAAATGAAATTCAATAAAATAACAGGGACAAAACAATTTATCCTGATAAAAATCGAATTTCATCATCATCATAGAAATGTCTTGATTGCTAATACTCCATTAACCTTATTCAATATTTTCATTTGTCAGATATTGAGTTCTATTTTCTGTCAAAATACATTATATCTTTGAGGCATAATTAGCTATCCAAACAAAATCATTTTTCTTTGAAATGGTTCTGTATCTGTTTAATGATCTGTAGATAATTTTCACCCCACTTTGAATATCAGTGACCTAGACAAATGTTTTAACATTTTACTATCAAATACAGTCTAATCAGCCAAGTGGAACCAACCTAGATAGTTTAAAATGGTGCTGCTGTGTGATTTGGCCATATGGCTAGCACCTTCTAGTTCTATCAAATGTGGTGCTCAATGTTAATAGAGTGTTGGAAGTATCTGATAGAATCATTATATACACACCTGTCCACTTTAACTGCAGTCATACAGGGAAAGGTATGCCTATATCAGCTCAAATCTGACTAAAGGATGTGAATCTCAACTCAACTGATTTGTTATCTTTGGAACCAATTAAGAATTCAACAGGTTTTCTATTCAAACTTGGTATTCATTAAAAGATATTTTTTCTCTAAAATTTTGTCTATTTAATGAATATGTGTTATAAAGACAGTTGTTATTACCGTATGTAATTAAGTATATCTGATTATAAAGAAACCTCCATGCATGAAGAATGGACTTTACGAAAAAGATTAAATATTACTAGATTTATCTACAGGCATCTAGTAGAGCCGTAGTATACTGTAACGCACACTCACTGTAAAAGTTAAGAGAATAAGCTTCCAAACGTCCCTAAAATAAAGTAGGTGTTATAGTTTTATGCTCTATCCACTTACCTATAATGCTTCTAATGGCTTTAGTAAAGGATTATCATGATCAATATATATGGAGAGGTCTATCCTCTCTGGCAATGAAAATGTTGAGAAAATACTCTTCAAAATGTTGACAAAATAAATTAGTAATTGTTCTACCATCAGTATGTGTTTATTTATTACACAAAGATGGTGGTGTGATTGACTGATTTTTTGGAATAATTTTTGGACTAAACTTTTTTTAATAAAAGAAAATGGAATGAAATGAAATGGCATTTAACGTCCTACTGTTCTGCTCCGACTGGGCAGCGGCACTATAGCCTACTCTTATATCGAATTCCAACTGCCAAGGGATCTTTTACGTGCATGCCAATGTATACACAGAACCTCGGTTTTTGGCCCATCCGAACGACTAGACAGCTGTCCTGGTCAGGAAAAACGACGTCGGAAAATCCTGATGAACTTTCTCGTCCAATGCATAGATTGAACACGCGACCTTTAATAAAAGTACCTTGGATTAAGTATATTGTCTAACTTACATGTTTGGGCTTTAATTCAGAAAAATTTACATGTATACTGCTGATTTTCCTGACAATTTTAGAGTGTTATCACATTTAACTAGAAAGATTTATTTGTTGTGATTTATGCACATCGATTATCATAATTTTATGTGAGCTTCATTTAATCACTTAGATTGTCTCCCATGATAATTTTCAATATCCTCACCATCTGGCAGGCACCAATGTCAATGAATGAATGAGTACATAAAAAATCCTAGTAAAACTGGTTATATCAATGCAACCTAGTAAGTAATTTAATCACATTTTGCCTTTAAAGAGCCTTTTGTTCTAAAACTTTAAAAGCATTTCACAAATTTAGAAAAATATGTGTACATTTTTTTTATTAAAGACTTAAGACAAAGACTCATTAATTGTTCAGTCTGTATTATTAAATATTAATGTTGCTTAAGCAAAAAACAACACACAAAGAAGTTTTTATTAATGACTTGCTAATCCTTTTAGCTTGACCAGTTATCAAAGAATGGTCAATAATTCTTGTTAATAATGGTCCAGTCCAGTTAGCTGACCCTCTTGACAGTTCATTTTCATTATTAGCACTATCACTCTAAGAGTGCCATGAGGCAAACATCTGGGCTGCCTTTATTTATTTCTGTTGCCACCGAGGCTAGTTTTTCAGTTCATCTGACAATTAGAGTCCCCCTGCATCAGTTTAAGTGGTCAGCCTAACTCAATTAAGTGTCCACTAGATGGTCATCATATACCATCAATGGGTGACCATTGTTTCAGCTTATAATTATATCTTCTCTCATCCAGCCAATAATTGTCTCTAATAGTTAGCATCAGTTTGATTAGGACTGTCAAGTGGTCAGGGTGTCCATGCACTTAACTTGATTAAGTTTCAAACTGACCAGTAAATTTATTTTATAGAATTCTGCATTTTATTTTTAAAACAGAAACATTTGTCACATATCTTTACGCTACGAATTGAATTACTAGTCACACTTGCCAATATTTTTCATATTACTGGTGGCTATTTTATAATCAACCATAAATTCTTACTTATGATTGAAGAAATGTTGAGTTATATACTGCATAATTTTAAAGAAATGAAATAATGTTTTAACGGCATACATAATTTAAAAGAAATCTTACCATAATGAGATTTTATATAAAATCAGTAAGCTTATCCATTTTAACACGTACAAAATCCCTGACTCATTTCTTCCTAATACTTGAACACAACTGTTCTACTGAACTCGGTCATCTACTTAATATATAAAGTCTTATATTGTAATAAGTAAAGCATTTCACTATATACTCAATCTTTGTAATCTATATACTCCCTATATGTTCCATGATATAGGATGGGTGTATCTATTAATAAACATATACCTACCTACATACAAACAGTGGTTTAAGACCGATAGACTTGTCTCGACAATAACTGAACAACTAGTGGACAGTCAATATGAGCTTCTGATGTACTTTCTGGTCAAAGTTTGTTTTGGCAAAGTACATTAAGAAGACTTTTGTCTAGAAACTTCAAAAGGTGTTTCTCACTGTATTTAGTGGTGAGATTTCTCATCCATTGATAAGTTTATGCAAACACAAGAGTACATGACCCATACAAACTACTTTTCCTATTCAAAATAGCAGTGCAATTCATTTATTATTAGTTAAAAAATAAATGAAATGAAATGAAATGGGGTTTAACGTCCTATTGTTCTGCTCCGAACTGGGCTAATGAAGACGGGCATACTCCATACAGTGTGCTATGAGGGAAATTTTGCTTGGACAGCGCAACTACGGCCTGCTTT